GCACCCCTGCCTGGCCTCCGGGGCGCTGGTCTAACTAAGTATGCTGGTCAGTTACTTCTTTTAAGTCCTGACAGTTTTATGAAGAAAGCACTTAAAAAATTATTATAGGGCATGTGCGCTCACCAGGGAGAAGGAGAGACATCACCCCCAGAGGGACGGCCATGCCACAGTCCCTTCTCCTCTATTCTCCTGTCAGGATTTTAGGCGTGCACACACACACCTAGCCCTGGGTCTAGGACTTGAACATGCAGTTAGCCCTGTGGGATCTGCTGCCTTAACATCCATGACACCAGCTGGCCCGCCCCCCCGTTTTTAGTTGCCAGAAGGCTTGTGTGCTCATGAGAGAGAGAGGGAGAGATGTAGGGAGACGGGCACCATGGCCTCACTGCCATCCGCCCCTGACCGCAGGCACTTGAGCCTGTCTGGCTGCACAGGGAGGCCTCAGGGTGCAAGCCCAGGCCTTCCTATGTGGGTCCAGCTGCATTACTGCTGTGCCAATCTCTGGCTTGAAAATTTACTATTTAAAAAAATATTTACTTTTATTAATTATTTTTATTATTATTTTTTAGAGAGAATTGTGCTATAGCGCGTGTGTACTTGCCAGAGAGACAGAAAACGAGAAATCACTCCTGGGGGATAGCCACGCCACAATCCCTTCTCCATTTTCCTCTCGGGATCTTAGGCACACATGCACACGCGCCCAGTGTGTTTCAAGCCCTGAGTCCAGGACTTGAACTGTGGTCGACTACATGGGAGTCCAGCAATGTAACCATTCCACCATCTGCTGGTCCCATGATTCTTATTTTTTAACTTGACCAGAGAGACGGAGAAAGGGAGTGAGAAAGCAAGGCACCGCGTCTGACCTTGAATCGTGGTCAGCCATGTGGGAGTCTAACATCTTAACCACCATGCCACTTGCCAGCCACTCTAAAGTTTGCTTTTTAAAACCAAGTATTACCGTGCTTTTTTATCGGCAAATCCTTTTTTTAAAAAAAGAAACCACCTCCAAATGAGGTGCAGTCACATTGCAATCCTTTCTCTATTTTCTCGTATTTTCGGGATTTGAGGCATGCATGCACACATGCCTGGCATGTTTTGTAAGCTACTGGGGCTGAGATTCGAACTGTAGTCAGCCATGTGGGAGTGTCCAGCGTACCACCTGCTGATCCCAAGTATTATCGTATTATGGTAGGAATTTATATGTGTGTGTGTGTGTGTGTCTGTGTGTATGTGTATGTGTGTATGTGTATATCTGTATGTGTGTGTGTGTGTATGTATCTCTGTGTATGTGTGTGTGTATGTGTGTGTGTCTGTGTGTATGTGTATGTGTGTATGTGTATATCTGTATGTGTGTGTGTGTGTATGTATCTCTGTGTATGTGTGTGTGTATGTGTGTGTGTCTGTGTGTATGTGTATGTGTGTATGTGTATATCTGTATGTGTGTGTGTGTGTGTATCTCTGTGTGTGTGTGTGTGTGTCTGTGTGGGTTGTCAGGAAAGTCACGATGCTCTTTTGCATAGAAAAATACATCGTGGTTTCCCCAGCGACCTAAGTCAGAGTCAGGACTGTAAGGCTGGCTTGGCATTCAGAAATAAATTGGTGCAAGTCATAGCCAAGGGAAAAATCAAGTAATTATTTCAATAGATGCTGAAATTCAACACCTATTAATGTTTGGAACTAATTAAGGGAACTGCCTCCGTGTACGAAGATGGACAACTCTGCAGAAGGTCTACGGCAGACAGATGCCGTGTTTCATGGAGAGATGCCGAGAGCTCTCAGAGCCGGAACGAGACCGGATGCCCTTATCACCATATCTACCCGGCCGCGCACCGAAAGTCCCACGGACTGTCACTTACTGGAAAGAACGTGACGAAGCTCTCATTACTGCGTTTCTGGAAATGTCAAGTAAGCAGGATTTGTAAGTGAATTTAACAAGGGTGCCAGGCCTCTGGGTAATATACACAAATGGATTGTGTGTCTAATACCAGTGAATAAGAAACGAAATAAAAGCCAATGTAACAGAGTAACCTTGAACACAGATGTCCAGTGAAAGGAGGCGATGGGAAAGAATACCCGGGGAAGGGCTGCGCCTGCCACTGCCACACCAGGAGCTGTCCCCTACGCTGGCTGCACCGCTCTGTTTGCTAGTGTTAGGAAGCAGTAGGCGAAGGCAGCAGCAAAGCCACTGTACGACAGAATATCGGCCTCACGGCATGTGTGCTTTGAGCACAGATTCCAAACTATGGCCGGGTTTCTTCTTTTTTCTTTGCTCTGAATAAAAGCGAACTGTGCGTTCTCTATAGAATATGGGGGTGGGAGAAGAATACCTATGGGGCCCAGCAGGTGGCGTGGTGGTTAAGGTGCTGGACTCCCACATAACAGACCACGGTTTGAGTCCCAGACCTGGTGGCTTGCTTTCTCTCACTTTCTCACTTTCCTTCTCTCTCTCTTAAATGAAAAATAAATAAATAAATAAAAGAAATAATTCTGTAAAAGAATACATAGTGTAGGATTCTACTCATACAAAATGCAAAGTTAGGCAAAACTAAACTGTGGTATTAGAGATTGGGATGCTGGATATGGTAGGGAGTGGGAAGAGGGTATTGGGATTGGCTACTGCCTTGCCCGGGTGGTAGTGACGAGAGTGCGCTCGCTGTGAGATCATTTGTTCAATTGTACTTTCATGTTTTATCTCTTTCTCTATCAAAGGGGTTACTATTTTTAAGATTTTTGCCATAGAGTGTGTGCGCTTGTTGGAGAGAAGCAGAGGGAGAGGGAAAATGAGAACTCTTCCTTCCAGGGGCTGGCCCTGCAGAGGGTGCTGGGTGCCAGGATGACGGAGGGGTCCCCTCTCCAGCCTTGTCCTGAGGACACAGGAGGGTGCTGTGCAAGGCAGAGGGGGGCCCTGGCCGGCCTGTGTCCTCCCCTCCCAGGCCTTTCTGGAAGGCCCATCTGTGCCATCTGGT